CCATTAACAAAAAATGCTCTGGGATGGGATAAAATTGTTGAAATGACAAATTATATTGAAACTTAGGAAGTTAAAGTGGCTATGCTAAGACAAGGCCTCACTGATCACGAAGGAATCATAGATAAAGAAAAATTGTGCTTCGGAAGGTTATGTCTGCAAAAGCCATTAGTTATTTTTTTTATTTTGCGTATCTGATGACAACTTTGAGTTTGTTTATTTTATAATCAATGCCATCTCATGTTAGCCAACCCCAAACTCTTTTGGGACTAAGGCTTGGATGTTGTTGTATAAATAATGCCGTCTCTCCCATCATTGAGTTTGCAGGTATTGCATGGACTGAGGAAGAGCACCGGCTGTTCCTTGTGGGGCTACAGAAGTTGGGTAAAGGGGATTGGAGGGGTATATCAAGGAACTATGTGACCTCAAGGACACCCACTCAGGTTGCAAGCCATGCCCAGAAGTATTTCATCCGCCAGTGTAATGTCACTCGCAGAAAGAGAAGGTCCAGCCTCTTTGATATGGTTCCTGATGATAACATGGTTAGTCCTTCTTCTCAAAAACAAGCTCTCTCACCCTGGCGATTAGAGGGGCTAGAGCTTTAACTTTTTTTACTTTGGAGGTCAAAGCTTCATATCTCAACATATTCTTTTGTAGATATGAAGTATGTGTACACAACTACGCGCACATATTCAATTCTCTCACAATACATTTTTTTTTACTTCAGGCTTAAATGTGCCTTTTCTTGATATAGAGAGAGTTTTGTTTGTTTTAGTACCCTGTTAAATTAATTCCTTGTTAGTCATCCCTTTTAACTACACCGCATTCTTTTATCTGTTCCTCCATTGACATCTACTTCGAAAAATTGTCGTGTCCCATAGAACTCCAATATGGCATTTTCAAGCTATGTTAAAAAAACATAACATTTTTTTGTGGGTTCCTCAGATAACCAGGGAGGTGTAAATTGAAAATGGGAATTGTGGGGTTCTCTTAGCCCTAGCGTCCGTAATAGTTGCCGATGTGCTGCATAAAGTTGTTGTGGGAACTAGAAAAGCCAGACTGAAGTTCTGTGGGTTCCGTCAATTTTTTTAGCTTAGGTTAATGGAGAGGGACTTGTAGTGAAACGATGTACACCTGAAAAATCAGTTTGCAGGAACCTATAACACTGTCTTAACAGGGACTAAACGTATTTAAACCTTTAATTTACAATCTTGCCCCCCTTTTCTTCTTCTGATTCTTGTACAGCAGGCCACAGAAACTCAACCTCTTCCAGAAGAACAGTTGACTGTCCCTATTCAAGCAATAGAAACCGAGGGGGCAGAGCTGGTGGAAACCGCTCAGGCAGATTCACCACCTTTGTTACATCTGTCTCTCATGACAGATTCGGAATCCGTGGAAAACACTCCTAAAGAAAACATCACCCCCTCAACAGCAGAAGCTCCGACATTGTTTCCTACATTTATCCCAACTTTTATCCCCATTCCCTTCCCAATATGGCCCTCAAGTGCAGTTCCTCGGGATGAAGATCCAAGGGTAGAAACGCCCCACCATCAGATCTTAAAACCCATACCACTTGTGCCTAAAGAGCCAGTAAATGTAGATGAACTTGTGGGATTGTCCCGACTTAGCCTTGGTAGTGATCAGACTGGTTCTTGCCAAATAGGTGAGGCATCAAGACCATCGGCTTTTCATGCTAGCAGTCAATTGTAAGATTTATCCAGTCAAAGCAGGTTACGTAAGAAGAAGCTTGCAAGAGATTTAATAGAGAGTTGCCTTTCCTTATGATGGTGTAATTAACTATCTTGTAACATAGTAGCTTATTATTATTAGGGAGTTCATGCTTTGCTTTCATATTCTTGTTAAATAAACGCCAGCTAGGTTCTTTGAATGATCAATGATAACTTGCAGCGTGCAGACGTTTCTCCAATATCATTATCAGCAGCTAGTTAGGGTTGTGACACTGACATGGTAGTGTCAAATTCAGATGGCAGTATGGCACTATATATTCATGAAATTGTTTCTTCATCCCTAGCATATATGTATTCATCTCTACTGCTTAATTACCATAAACTAAAGATATAAAAAAGCCTGGGAAAAAATAAACACAAGTAAAATAAACCGTCTTCTTTGCACTATAAGGTAAAAAACATTAGAACAAAAGGGACCGTTTACTTGAAAGGAAAATTCTCCGTTTTTCTAGAAAATTGGAGAACAGAAAATTGAAAAACATATACGGAGTATATATTATCTCCAAATGTGAAGAACTCATTTTAGTAGTTCTTTGTAATTGGAGATATGGAAAACTCGTATGCTATATATACATTTAGAGCTGATAGGGATTGGGAATCGAACCCGATTCCCTACTCCCTAGCATGGTATTTGACAATTTCCTTTTCCCTAGCATTTTCTATGAAACATACACTATTAACCTTAAACTATGTTGAATCATGTAAAATAAATATAATTTTTTTTAATTTATTAAGAGATTATATACGTATCCCGGTACGCATAAGTGATTTTTTTTACGCATTAGTGATTGTTACACACACATGACACATGGCTATAACAATTCCCACAATGCACACAAGGAGTCCTAAAGAAAAAAAGTTCTATATTGGATGTCAAACTTTAACAATAATTAGTTATGAAAGCTTTTGGCCGGAACCACAGAACCACTAGAGAAAGCGGAAAGCGCAACTAAGGGGTGGACTGGGCCGGTTCCGGGCCGGGCTCCGGGTCTGAGTAATTGAGAGTCCCGGTACCGGCCCGGTTATGTACCGGTTCCGGTCCGGCTCGGGCTACTTGGGCGGGCTTCGGGCAAGGTCCGGTCCGAATCGGGCCTAATTTTTTGTCTTTTAGAATTAATTCGAACCCCCTACCCCAAACCCCCCCCAAACCATTTAGCCCCACCCACCTAGAACAAGCTCAACCCAAAAAAAAAGAATATTTGGGCCCGGACCGGGCCGGTCCACCAAAATCTAAGCCCGTAGCCCACCTAATAAAACCTCTGGTTCGGGCCTCTGGCCCGGTCCCGATTGACCGGTTCGGGCCTTTGGCCCGGTTCGAGTCGGGTCCCAACAGTGCTGGGTCGGTCCGGGTCCCGATCAGGCCGACCCGACCTAGTCCACCCCGAGGCGCAACTAGGGTTAGTTCTAGATTCTAGTCTGTGGAAGTTTGGGGTCGGTCGGCGATATCCAATCGCTCGACCATTTAACGCAGCCGAGGGAAGAGACTGTCCAGGCTCAGTCGCGGGGAAGGACGCAGCTCACAAACGGATTAATAGGGACTGCAGGAGAAAGCGGTAGTGAACTACTATACCAATCATAATGAATGTGGAAGGTCCATGATCGACAAAATTCAGGGCTTGTGATGGTGGTCTTTTAGGAGCGAACTAGATTAATAGATTGAGTGGAAGACTTTGCTTGAAATGACATGGAGAATTCCAGATTCAGATGTTGGATGAAGAAGATTGACCCGCCCCCCTCCTGAATCGCCGCCATGGAGGATGACGCCTGAAGTACGGATTCGGGTGCTCCATAAGTTTATTTTATTCAATTCTATTTTACTCATTTTGAGTTGTTTAATTATGAACTTTGCCGTTATTGCTATTCAGAACACTAAATAGCCCCTTAGAACACTAAGGGGGTAGGGTTTTTGCTTGGTTTATTTCATTAGATAGGTTTCTGTTGGGCGGCAATCAGGCTGACTCAGCCGCTAATAGCCTCTTTGCTCTCACCGCTTCAACGATTAGTCTGGCTCTATCTGGGGTGGACTATTCTATGTTTGATTATGATGTGAGGGGGGCGATGAGCTTTTTGTATTGTTTGGAGTGAGAGATGTAAGTCTTGGGACATGCTTGTTGTTTTTATTCGTTTGATTTTAATATAAGCTAATTCTTTTATAGTTGATGAAACGACCTTCCTGTCCTTATGGAATGATCAACGGTAGAATTTGTAAAAAAACAACATAAATTGTTATAATAATTCATCCTCCACCTCGGTGTTGAAGAAAGATGTTTTCGTTTTCTCCTAGAAAGATGCAATTGTTGGACAAAGATAGACTAAATGGAAGGAGACTAACATGATTATATATATTGTTGTACTCTTGCCCTCTATGATAAATGTTGACGTTTTAGCGAAACAAAAATATCTATAACATTCTATATACAACTAAACACAAGAGGGGTGCCTATAAAAACTTCATTTGTTTAAAATAAACTTCTTTTTTTATTTTGACACAATTGTAAAAAAAAATGTTTGAAAAATAAAAAATGGCTGGGATTTGATTAAAAAAACATGAAAAGTAACACCATATATGAGTTAAGTCATATATGCATTATGTAGTATATGTGTGTTTTAAAGTACTGATCGTAATAGAGCTACCTATCCCCCCCCCCCCCTTCACACACACACACACACCTTAAAATTAAAACAAATCTTCTGATTATACAACATTACATTCAAAGAAGATTTTCTCTCCTAAACAACTTGACAACTAGGGATGAGTTAGGAGCATATTATTTGTTACGGTTTAAACAAGTAATTTCAGTAAACAACTTGACAACTAGGGATCAGTTAGGACTTAGGAGCATATTATTTGTTACAGTTTAAATAAGTAATTTCAGTATTATGAAAATTAGAGATGTCACTTGCATCTTTTGTGAAAAGAGTTGTGCTAGGTGTACACCTTTTGTACACTCGTCTGTCTCATACACACAGAATTGTCTGTCCACACACAATTGTGTAGAGTTGTCTTCACACCCTTTTATTCATAGGTGTGGGAAATGGACAAGTTATGTATACGTTTTGTATGACATTCTATGACTAATTATGTGGAAAGTCCCGTGCAATCCTTAAACTAAGTATGCATGTGAAGAGTGCGGCCATTGTTTGAAAAACAGCTTAGGGAATCCCTATGATCAAATATGGTAATTTTCTTCCATTGGACAGTTCAGATTTAATTGATACCTAAGTTTCAGTTTCTCGATTGTTTTCTTTTATGTAGAGAAAATGAGCTATCTTTTCCCTATGAGATACTTAGAGCTTCTTTGAGTGGAATGCCTATTTCTATCCAATTCATCCTACCAAATCTTTCTAATGATTACTCGGTTAGTTAAGCAACTATACAGTCAATCTATTAAGATTCTTCGCAGTTTCAAATTTTCCCAGTTGCAATATGAATTTGTTAAGACTCTATAAAGTCAACTAAATTATCTACTCTTTGTTTATGGCACTGTAAACCATTTAATCCTTTCAGATTGCATTTAATCCTTTTAGATTGCAAGAGTAATTTGTGTAAGGGTACATGCAGGACACTCACAGAAGGCGGCCAACTACGGTGTTTCGGCCGCTGCTTGGATGTGTGGGTAGGAGGTCCTCAGTTTTTTCCGGATTTGGAGTCATAAACTCCAAGATTGTATATGAAGTGCAAGGTTTGAAGCACGAGACTTACTTATTTATTATTATCTCTCCAAAATCCTATGTTGTAAAAAGCCGGTGAGCGACCCGGTCATGTGATTGGGTCACGGGTCAACCCGGTCAAAGCCGGAAAACCGGTCAACGATTATACGTCTATATAATAATAAACATATAATTATATACACTCTCATTATATATTTTTATTTGTATTGTACATTTATATTATAATTTTGGCATGATTTTCATTCTTAAATAAATATATAAATTTATTACGTAGTACATAGTTTTTCTGTTTAGGGAATTGAAATTGCAATTTTATTGGTTTAAAAAATGCATTAAAATTAAAAAAGAAATTACTTTTTTTTGGGAAAAGACCGAAAACCGGGTTTTCCCGAGTTTTTGGGTTTCTTGGGTCGGGTTCGGATCGGATTTTTTCGGGTCAGCCGGGTTTTTCTGGTTTTTGACCATTTTCGGGTTTTGAAGAAACCGAACCGGATTTTTGTCCGGGTCACCGGGTTCCGGGTCAACCCGGCCGGGTCGGGTCGGTTTTTTAAACATAGCCAAAATCTTTGTGTTTCTTTGATAACTTCTAAATTATTATTTATTCACCCTATGTCCCTTTTATAATTGATAAAGCCATAGAAGAGATGAGCTCTAGGGTGGAAGAAGACATACGTATATTGATAAAAATGGGATAATGAATATGGAACATACAAAGAGTATATGTGCAATAGCTAATCTAAACATACAAGATAAAATGACCAAACTACCCTTAATGGCTAATATAATATTTAACACCCTCCCTCAAACTCATGATGATGATGATGCAAGAATCATTGAAGTTTGTTAACAAAAAACGATGGTGATCAATAGTATGAGCTTTTGTGAAGAAGTCTGCAAGCTGATTTGAAGACGAGACGAAGGGCAAAAAGATGGTTCCATGCTCATAATGATGTCGAGTAATATGACAATCAATCTCAATGTGTTTTGTACGCTCATGAAACACGGAGTTATGAACAATTTGAATGGCGCTCTTGTTGTCACAGTAAAGAGGTGTTGGAGTTGTGCAATGTACTCCCATATCAGCGAGTAACCATCGTAACAAAACGATCTCACAAGTGGTAGAAGCCATAGCACGATACTCAGCTTCAGTGGAAGATCGTGACACAATATCTTGTTTCTTGGTCTTCCAAGATATAAGAGAATCCCCAAAAAAGATGCAAAAGCCTGTAGTTGATTTACGATCTATTGAGTTACTAGCCCAATCTGCATCTGAGAAGGCAGGAAGCTCTAAAGAGGAGGTAGAAGGAAACAACAATCTTTGGCAAATAGTTCCTCTAAGGTAGCGAAGAATATGAACAACGACAGCCCAATGTATAGAAGTAGGAGAAATGACAAACTGACTAACAATGTGGACAACATGAGCAATATCTAGATGAGTAATAGTAAGATAAACTAAGCTTCCAACAATAGTACGATATAGACTAGGATCAGCCAAAGGAGTTCCATCCGAAGGAGAATAACGAACATTAATCTCAAGTGGAGAATCAACAACCTTAGTATCTGTCAGACGAGCTCGTTCAATAATATCTACAGCATACTTAGATTGAGAAAGAAGGTAACCTTTTGGCGAAGAAGCTATCTCAATTCCCAGAAAATACCTCAATGATCCCAAATCTTTCATGTCAAACTTCCGGGCTAAGTTTTTTTTTCAAAACTGCAATACCATCAACATCATCACCTGTAATAATCATATCATCAACATATAACAAAAGCAACACACGGCCTGTAGAGGAGGACTTGACAAATAATGCAGGATCATGATGACTAGATGCATAACCAAGAGAGAAAATCACCACAGAGAACTTCTCAAACCAAGCTCTAGGGGCTTGTTTGAGCCCGTAAAGCGCTCTTTTAAGCTTACAAACCTGTCCAACACCATGGGGAACACCGGGTGGAGGAGTCATGTAGACCTCCTCTTTAAGGTCACCATTCAAAAAAGCATTTTTGACATCCAGTTGTGAGATATGCCACTGATGTACAGATACAACTGCTATGAGAACCCTAACGGTTGTCATCTTGGCAACATGAGCAAAAGTCTCATCATAATCCATACCATATTGTTGAGAGAAACCTCTCGCAACTAACCGTGCCTTGTATCGTTCAATAGACCCATCAGACTTTGTTTTGATTTTATAAACCCAGCGAGACCTAATTGGTTTCTTTCCAGCTGGCAATGACACAAGATCCCATGTGTGACTTCTAGCTAAAGCACTAAGCTCCTCAGTCATATCCTGTTGCCAAAGTGGATCTCCTGATGCCTCAAGATAAGATGAAGGCTCACACAATTGATGAATAGAAGATAGAAAAGCACTGAATGATTGAGAATAACACGAATAGGCAAAATCAGGTAGTTTAGTGGACTTACGGATGCGATCGGATCGAGGATGAACAGGAGGATGTGGAGGAGGATCTGCAATCACTGGAGGTTCTTGGGAAGACATAAAGGGGGGGACATCATCAAGATCACCATTTTCTTGGTTTGTGATGGCACTAGGAGACAAGTTTATATGATCTTCATGAATGTTAAATGGATCAATGCTAAGAAGATGAGAGCGGGTGAGATTATGAAAGACTGAAGGTATGGAGAAGAAAGGAATATGCTCAATAAATACAACATGACGTGCAACATACAACTTTCCACTCGATGGATCAAAACAACGAAAACCTTTTTGAGTATCACCATAACCTAGGAAAACACATATGGCACAACGAGAAGACAACTTAGTACGCTCCACACTAGGCTTAAGAACAAAACAAGTACTTCCAAAAACTCTCAAGTTAGAATAGTTAGGAGTACGACCTTACAACTTTTGATATGGAGAAATGCTAGAATTATGAGCCGTGGGTATCATATTAATTAAATGGACTGCAGTAAGTACTGCTTCTCCCCAGAACTCACTAGGAACACTAGCTGACAAAAGCATAGAACGTGCAGTTTCTACAATGTGGCGATGTTTTCTCTCAGCTACCCCATTTTGTTGTGGGGTGTCAGTGCAAGAAGATTGGTGCACAGTCCCATCAGAAACAAATAAATTAAAAAGACTGCCAGAAGTATATTCTCCACCTAAATCAGAACGAAAACATTTGACAACAGAAAAGTGTTGGGTTTTAACATATGACTGAAAAGCTGTGTATATATTTAAGAACTCAGAACGATGTTTCATTAGATAAACCCAACAATAACGAGTGTAATCATCAATGAAAGAAACATAATATCGAGACCCCCCCTTTGTGGTAATAGGGGCGGGGCCCCAAACATCAGAATGTATCAACTCAAAAGGTCCAGTAGACTTAGAATCACTTAGTTTAAAAGGTAAGGCGGAAAACTTTCCAAGCTTACATCCACTACAATCAGATATATCATGAGGTTTCAAATTTCCCAAAACACCACTAGAAACCATAAACCGAAGGCGCGGTCCGGAAACATGACCAAGTCTAGAATGCCACAAAACAAATTTAGAAGATGACGAACTCAAATGAAATTTGGATAAATCGACACCTGTGGCAGCCACATTATTAGTATGGTGCAACCTATCCAAAATGTATAAGCCCCCTTGTCTCTATGGCCGGTCCCAATCTGCTCCTTGGATTTCAGATCCTTTATATGATAAGTGGAAGGAAAGAAGTGAACAAAATTACCAGAATCACATAATTGACCAACAGAAGTAAGTTTCATGGCTAACTTGGGAATACAATAAACATCAGATAAGGATATATTCATTGTTTGGACATTACCAATGCCTATCAAGGGCATAGGAGAACCATCAGCGGTTGAGACTGTTGTTTCAGAAACATTAGCTGATATTGAAACAAAGGAAAGCAAATGAGGGGACATATGATGTGAAGCTCCAGAGTCTAAAACCCATGGAGAAAACAAACCTGAGGCACCAGAGGATGAGGCAGACATGGCATGTGACTGAGGCGTTGTCTAAGTAGCTAAAAATTTCTGAAATTGGTCTGCCAAGGAAGTCTCTGGACTGACATGCTCCTCTCTAGGGGTCTGATCGGAATAAGGCACAAATGCAGCTGTAGTTGGGCGGAAACTATATTGTGGGCCTCCACCAGAGAAATGTCCATGGCCACTATCAGAACGATATTGAGGCTGAGGTGCTCGTCCTCCTCGTTGTTGTCCAGTTTGGCGATTTTTAATTTTTCTAGAAATTTTGGGTATTGATTCTTCCAGTGACCTTGCTCCTTACACTAAGCACATTCTTGAGTGGTCGTATGTCGATTCTGTGGAAATCTATGTCTATGGGCTGCCATGGCAGAAGAGTCTGCAGTGTGTGGATTAGCAAGCACAGAAGGTGTGGAAGCATGGGTGGCCTTGCTAGTATGAGTTTTAAGACGAGTTTCTTCGGCAAGTAACTCATGAACCACAGAATCAACAGAAGGCAGCGGAGTACAATGTAAAATTGACGCACGCATAAGTTTAAACTCAGCACGAAGAGCCATTAAAAACTGAACCAGACGTTGTTCTTCCCTGCGAGCAATATATGGAGCAAAGGCTCGCAATTCAGCAGACTCAGTTGTAGTCAATTGATTCCAATGCATAGTCATTTTGTTGTAAAATTCCTCAATACCCATATCCTCTGTTTGAACAAGAGCTCGAATATCAGCCTCTAATTGATACTGAACAGCAAAGTTGAACCTCACATATAACTTCTGAAGATAATCCCAAACCTGTTTTGCAGTATCATATTTAGCCAACTGCATACCGATTCTATGTTCAACAAAGTTATTTATCCATGTGATAAAGTTGGAATTATTGGTATCCCAAACATCAAGCAACTCATCAAATTTTTCGCCATCAACAGATTTCGTAGGGATGGTAGCTGCACCAGAAACATACTTTCACATTTTCTTTCCTTTTAAAAAAAATTTCATCCCAAAGCTCCAATATGTGTAATTTGTACCATCCAGTCTAACACTAATAGACTGTAAAGAATCTTCTCCCCCAGCCATAGTGATCACAACAACAAACACTAATTGACAAACCCAACAACAAATCCAACGAGTCCAAAATATATCCTCAAATCCAAACAAATTGCAGAAATGAAATTCAGGGGAAATCGAACCTGAGCTCAAATATCATAGCAGCGCAAGAAAATAGTGAAAATTAGAGACCCGGCAACTACATAGTCCAGAAAATTAGGGTGGAAGAAGACATACGTATATTGATAAAAATGGGATAATGAATATGGAACATACAAAGAGTATATGTACAATAGCTAATCTAAATACAAGATAAAATGACCAAACTACCCTTAATGGCTAATATAATATTTAACAATAACCAACTTTAATTGCGTAAATTCACAAACTAAATATCAGCTTCATGCCAAAGAAATTGTTCATAAGTTGGACCTTTCCATGTATGATGAAATTGTTTGCGTTAGTGAGAAACATAGTTAGTCATTCTTTAGTTATTTCTTATTGCAAAGAGAAACATAGCAGTGACCTTCATGCTCATGCATTCTAACTTTTATTAGATAGTTAATGCACGGCTTGAAAGGGAGGGCCAGAAGAAGGTGTCTCTTGGAGTTATACCTGCAGATTTTTTCTTCATTATTTTCCATCATGCGTCTTTTTTCTTACATTCTTTCCCAAAAGCAGTTTGGGACACTAATAGCTCTTTTACAAGTAATAAATTTTATCCTCTAATTGTCAACCAACTTATGAATTGTTAAAATTTATATTTCACAAGTACTTTCACTATATATACACAATACTTATTACATTTTTAAATCTTAACCAAACACATATAGTTTTAGTTCATATTTAAAACTTAATGATGTTTCTCCTAGTTACTGAAAAGTATTGCCATCTCAGGAGAGATGTGGTTCCACAGGTTTTTGTGATGTTTCTTTTCTATGATGGTGATATTTATAGTAATGTATTATAATTATTTGCATACAGGCATGGGAAACGGAATGGTGAAGTCTCTTCTTGATTCAGGATGTTTTTACTTGGACTGTAATTTGTCTCAGACCAAATTAGACCAGACCAGACTTGGATAGTTATAAAAATACAAAGAAACCAGACCAGACTAGTTCAGACCAGATCAGACCAGACGAGACCAGACCAGCAAATTACAGTCCAAGTAAAAACAACCTTAGCGGGAGATTCTTGCATTGCTTTTGCTGCAAGACTTTCTATTATTCGAGGTAGTAGGGTGTTGTACAGGTCACTTTTTTTAAGGAAAAAAAGTCAAATAAGCTCTTCTATTATTTTTCAATCTGTCCCTTAAGCCCTATACTACATAGAGTATCATATAAGTATGCATACTTTTAAAAATTGATCAATTTGACCATTTAATCAGTTTTGACCTGTAATTGAAGGGTTTCAGTATTTAAAAATTCTAAAAAATTATTAAGTTTGAAGATATATATACAAAAATTGTGAAACTTTTTAGAATTTTAAAATTATTTGTATATTCTACATCTATTTAAAAGGTTTTTTTTTTAATTTTTCATTTTTTATCTTTTTATTTTCACTTTATTTTTTCAATTTTCTGATTTTTATTTTATTTTAACTTTTTTAAAAAAAAATCTATTTTTTATCTATCAAGTTTATTTTCTTAAATTTTTCCTTTGCTTGCTACAGTCTATTCCAGAACCTTCTATTTTTAGCTTAACTAACTTTGTTCAGAGTTAGTTTAGTTGGTTACGACTGATTGTATATAAATAAATGAATCCCATGTAAATCAGGTAATGAATAATATTCCTCATCTCATTTCTTAGTTGAGCTCAGCTCCTAATCTCCCTGTGTTACGCTCAATACATGTCTTCTATACAAAGTTCCCCTTTGTATTTCCATAATTGATTACTCCATTACAGTAGATATTTAGCTACTGTAACATTGGTATCAGAGCTCGATTACCTGGATAAACTAGCCGATCAATCAAAGAAGTTAGTCTGGCACCAAGAACAAGAAAAGGAAACATGGAAGATCAAGTTATTAGCCTGGAGAAGAGGCTGGATGACCAGAAGAAGCAAACGGGTCAACAACTGCCTGCAATTCAATAGATAATGGGATTAATGCAAGAAATCAAGAAGAGATTACCAGAATAAGAGGTAACATCTAATCAAAGTCAGTCAATTAATTCGAGTGATATGAGAAAATCTGATGGTAGATCTTTTGGCTTTGTTCCAAAACTGGAGTTTCCCATTTTTTATGGTAGTAACTCTAGAATGTGGATCAGAAAATGTGAGAAATACTTTAATCTCTGTAAGGTGCCTGATAATCAGAGATTGAATTTTGCGTGCATATATGTAACTGGTAGGACTGAACTGTGGGTTAGCAGTTATGTGATCAATAGGAAGGGTGTATCTTGGAGTGAATTCTGTATTGATGTTTGTGCACGTTTCAAGGATGAAAAACTAGATAATGTAGTAGAACTGTTCAACAAATTGACTCAGAGGGATTCCATTGAAGTATATCTTGATGAGTTTGAAACAATGAAGTCAATGCTACTACAACAGAATCATAACCTTTCTGAGGAGTATCTTCTAGAAAGTTTTATTGGAGGGTTAAAAGCTAACTTTGTAAGAGCATTCAAACCAACCAATGCTGTGGAATTTGCCAGATTACAAGAAGAAAATCTTGCTATCAATGCCATTAAATCAGCCAAGAATAACCCGTTCCCAACTCATTTTCACAGTAATCCATAAAAAATTCCTTCACCACATACTAATGAATTGATATCTTTGCCTCATAACCCTAAAACAACTTCATTGACATCACAACCTTTCAACAAGAATCCAAGATATGTATCTGCTATTGAAAGGGCTGATAAAAGAGCTAGAGGACTGTGTTACTACTGCAATGAGAAATATGAGGTTGGCCATAACTGTAAAACTAAGGGAACTCAATTTTTCTTAGTAGAAGTGGCTGGATTAGAAGACAATGAAGGGGAAGAAGTAATCCTGCAGACAATTTCTCAGAATTTCAGTTAGGAGACCCATGCATATATGTTAATGCTGTTAGTGGGAATCAAAACTTCAACACTATGAGAATTCTGGGAGGATTAGGAAGGAAAAATTTCACATACTAATTAACTCAGGGAGCACACATAATTTTTTAGATATGAAATTGGGATGTGAGTTGGAGAAAATTCAAAATCAAGCAGTGACTGTAGCTGATGGAAATCACCTGGATTGTCAATACATTTGCAAAAAGTTTTGTTGGACTTTGCAGGGAATTGAATTCACGAGTGATGTGCTCATCATTCCTCTTGGGAGTTGTGACATGGTATTAGGTATGGAATGGCTATCTACACTTGGAACTGTGTCATGGGATTTTAAGAAGTTGCTTATGAATTTTACCTTAAAAGGAATTGATTTTACTCTCAAAGGTATATCTGGTCATAAGTTGTCAGTTCAAAGTGAACCTTCAGAGAAATTCTTTCAGAACACTACACAACTTTGTGTAATATGGCTGGGAAGTTCTGAAATCACTGATGAAAATGCTATAGACAGTGATATTGTTATAGAGAATGAAAAGCCTAAGGAACTGACTAAAATTCTGGAAGGTCATAAAGCTGTCTTTGAAGAACCAACAGGATTACCACCTATTAGGGGAGTGTTTGATCATAGAATTCCACTTGAACAAGGGGCTGAGCAGTGAATATTAGACCATATAGATATTCACTTAAGCAAAGGGATGTTATAGAAGAGCTGGTGCAGGAAATGCTTGATAGAGGAATTATTCAGAATAGTTCAAGCCCCTATGCATCACCTGTGGTTCTAGTTGGTAAAAAAGATGGAACTTGGAGAATGTGTACAAACTATAAAGAGTTAAATAAGAAAACTATCAAGGACAGGTTTCCCATTCCAGTCATTCATGAGCTTATAAATGAACTGGCTGGTGCAACTATTTTTTCTAAATTAGACCTGAGAGCTGGATACCACCAGATGAGAGTGCATGCTGATGATGTGCCTCAAACCGCTTTTAAGACACATTCAAGTCATTATGAGTTCCTTGTAATGCCATTTGGACTCACTAATGCACCTACTTCTTTTCAGAATTGGATGAACGAAGTTTTTAATCCTTTGCTAAGAAAATGTGTATTGGTATTCTTTGATGATATTTTGGTTTATAGCAAGAACAAAGAAGATCATTGAAGACATTTGGAAGAGGTCTTTCAGTTGATGAAGAAGAATAGTTTGTACATAAAGCCCAGCAAATGTTTTTTTGCAGTGGAGCGAGTGGAATACCTGCATTTCATATCAGGGAAAGGTATTGAAACAGATCCTCAAAAGATTTCTACTATTAGAAATTGGCCGGTTCCTAAATCTGTAAAAGAGCTGAGGAGTTTTTTGGGCTTAACTGGCTATTACAAAAAGTTTGTAAGAGATTATGCAATCATTAGCAAACCTCTTACTAACTTACTGAAGAAAGGGGCATATGGATGGAGAGAGAAGGCACAAGTAGCATTTGAAGCATTGAAGGAGGCCTTGGTGACTTCCCCTGTTCTAGCAATACCAGATTTTTCTAAGCAGTTTATAGTGGAAACTGATGCTTCCCAATATGGTATTGGAGCTGTACTTATGCAGGATAGGCACCCTTTAGCCTTCATTAGCAGATCACTAGGCCCTAGGTGGCAAAAACTTTCTATATATGAGAAAGAACTGCTAGCTATTGTGTTTGTTGTACAAAAGTGGGAGCAATATTTGACAGGGCAGCATTTCATTATTCAAACAGATCAAAAAAGTTTGAACTGGCTCCTGGAACAAAAAATTCCCACACCTTTCCAACAGTTCGATCTGGTTATCCAAGCTAATGGGGTTTGATTATGAAATCCATTATAGGAGTGGGATAGAGAATGTGGTTGCCGATGCCCTTTCCAGAGTATCAGGAGCTGCGATTCTGTGTTTGGCTATCTCAGTAGTGTCTTCTGACTTAAGAAAACAGATTGAATCAAGTTATTCATTAGATGATCATCTGTTGAAAATTATCCAAATGTTGCAGTAAGGTCAAGTGGTTCAACAATTTCAGTTGAAAGATGGGTTGCTGAGAAAGAAAGGAAAGATTTATATAGGGCCTCATCAGAATCTGAGGATGAAGATTATGGAGTGGCATCATGCTTCACCTGAAGGGGGACATTCTGGAAGGGAGGTAACATTAAAAAGGATTAAATCCTTGTTTTGTTGGAAGGGATTGAGTAAAGAAGTATCATACTTTGTTAGAAATTGCTTGATATGTCAAGCTGCCAAGTATGATAATGCAGCTTATCTAGGTTTATTACAGCCCTTACCAATACCTAATGGAGTGTGGACAGATATTAGTATGGATTTCATCACTGGACTTCCAAAATCTCAAGGATATGAAGTGATATTGGTGGTGGTAGACAGGTTGAGCAGATATGCCCATTTTTTGGCTTTAGCTCATCCTTTTTCTGCTATGGAAGTAGCTTAGGTATAGTTGGATCATGCGTTTAAACTTCATGGATGGCCTAGGAGCATTGTGAGTGACACGGATCCTATATTCCTTAGTCAGTTTTGGCAAGCCTTATTTACGATCCAAGGAACAGATTTTTTGTTATCTTCTGCCTATCATCCACAGACGGATGGTTTGACTGAGGTTATTAATAGAAGCTTAGAAACATACTTGAGATGTTTTTGTAGTAACCAGCCTAAAGAATGGTCCAAATGGTTATCATTGGCTGAATGGTGGCATAACACTCATTTTGTGTCATCAACTCAAAAAACCCCTTATGAGGTTGTATATAATCAGCCCCCACCAATGCACCTTCCTTATTTGCCTGGTGAAAGTAATGTGGAGGCTGTTGATCATTCTTTACAGAAGAGGGAATCTATGATTTCAGAGCTAAAGCACCATTTGACAAGAGCAAAACAAAGAATGAAACAGCTGGCTGACAAGAAGAGAACTCATAGGAACTTCATGGTAGGAGAATGAGTGTGGCTTAAATTGCAACCTTATAAACAACAGTCAGTGTAGAAAAGACCTAATCAGAAGCTATCACAAAAGTATTTTTG